ATGGCGGCTGCTGGGACATCTTTTATCTACCTGGTTTCTCCTGACAACTGTTTAGAAATTTACAGTTTCGGCACTGGAATATATTTATATAACAAAATTAAAACATGCATCAGTTAATCTGCAAGCCAGAAATAATAGATAGAAAAAAATATCTGCTGAGACATCTTTTATATACCTGGTATAAAATTAGAAACTGTTTAGAAATTACAGTATAGGAACTGGAATATAAAATCAAACATGCATCAGTTAATCTGCAAAAAAAGTGCAAGTAAATCTGTTGTTTTGGTCAATAGAAAATTATCACTCAGTTACCATCTTTTATACCTGGTTTTTCCTGCTAACTGTTAAAAATGTACAGTTTCGACACTGGAATATAATAAAATCAAACATGCATCAGTTTATCTGCAATAAAATCTTTTGGTTGCTAGAATTTAGTAGAAAAAATATCAGGGAGCTACGTCCAGAAGGGGGCTTCTGAGACATCTTTTATACCTGGTTTCTCCTGCTAACTGTTAAAAATTTACAGTTTTGACACTGGAATATAAAAATGAAACATGCATCAGTTAATCTGCGAGCAATTTTTTTGTTTTGGTAGACAGAAAATTATCACTCAGTTACCACCTTTTATATACCTGGTTTCTCCTACCGTTAAAAATTTACAGTTTTGACACTGGAATATAAAATTAAACATGCATCAGTTTATCTGCTATAAAATCTTTTGGTTGAAAGAAAAAATATCAGGGAGTTACGTCCAGAAGGGGGCTTCTGTGCCATCTTTTATCTACCTGGTTTCTCCTGCTAACTGTTTAGAAATTATAGTTTCGACACTGGAATATAATATCAAACATGCATCAGTTTATCTGCAATAAAATCTTTTGGTTGACAGAAAAAATATCAGGGAGCTACGTCCAGAAGGGGGCTTCTGAGACATCTTTTATACCTGGTTTCTCCTGCTAACTGTTAAAAATTTACAGTTTTGACACTGGAATATAAAATCAAACATGCATCAGTTTATCTGCAAGCCAATCTTTTGGTTGATGGCAAAATATCAGGCAGTTGGCTTGCCATTCGCCTCTAGATGGGCTGGCTTAAAAATAGATACCAGTATGTACTGGTATACAAAAGAAAGGCCCGATAAAAGAGCCTAGAATCCCGCCAAAAAATCATAAATTGGTAAGATAAAGACTAAACCTCTGTTTGCAGAGTAGTACTAGTGTCAGTTATCTGATAATTTCCGAGTACGAAATTTCTCAGTTCATGTCCAGACATCGTTTCACACTTGTGTGTAAACCACAGGAAGGACTTTTGACATGCTAATTTGTGAGAAATGTCACAAAGGCATTCCGACGGTTTTATGTGCATAATTCCGTCCAGATGTTTTTAAAAGAAAGGGAAATTTGTTGTTGAAAGCATTCGTGCTGAAACATTATTTAGCAAGAGACGAGAAAAATCAGAACTCCCTAAAAATTTAGACACGAAAATTTCAGTGTTGTTGGAAGTTCTGTATGTTGCCAAAATAAAAACAAACTCCAGGAGACAACATTTTTCTTTGCATGTTGAACAAAATCACAGAGGTGAGATTTTCATTCGTGAATAAAGAAATACTATGCATAATTTTGCACACTTACAAAGAAAGTTCACATCCAGATCAACAGGCCAGACTCGAAAACAACAACATGATGCCTCCTTGCGAAGTGGCCATTTTGGCATCTCGGATTTCATATAACTGTCAAAGACCACATGTTGAGCAAAAATCCGTCAAATGCTGCCTTACAGTCCACACATGCACGTTGTCAGCAAAGTAGTATTTTCAATCTGTACTATATGACATGGAAAGGGTTGAAAAATGTCAAGAAAAGGGAGATATTTTCTAGTTTGAGGAGCAAAATCTGGGGCCGCGTGCTATGCGAAGGGCGGGCAACTATCTCTCCAGAGAGTTCAACTCTAGCGTTCTGCCAGCCTCATTTTTACGTTTACAGGGACGAAATTCGGCCTAAAAATTGCTCCAGTTGTACTTGACAATCGTTGGGAAAGTCTAAGAAAAATATACACGCCAAGACATCGCCTGCAGATGACATTTTTTTGCAGAAATCAGGTCGTAAATAATCAGTTTTGCATGTCAATGTCATCGGGATGTCATCTGGGCCGGGCAAAACAGTGAGGTTGCAAAGAAATCTAAAAAAAAACGTTCTTTTCTGGCTCTAAAATCGCCCAAATTCTAGTCTCAGGAAGATCAAAACCTACACAACATGTTCAAATAACAATATCGATGTAAATATTTACCTTTGGCTGTTGTTTTTGCTGTTTTTTCAGCTGAAAATGACCGAGCTTTCAAGGATCCATCCAACCACTCTCTCGTGTCACTACGGTTCTGAGCAAGGCGGGAGTCCCTTATTTGGTCTGACGACGCGACCCAATCAGCGGAGACCTTAGTTCTCAGAAAAAAGAAAGGGGCGCTCTGATTGGATGGAAGTTTGACAGGAGCTATAATTGATTTATTGATGATATTGATTGATTGGGAAATGTACAATGCGCTCATTTCTTGTGATTTTGATCATGTTTCTTTTCAATTGGACAAGAAATTCTAGCATTAAAATTTGATAAGAATCAAAATAACCAACTGATTTCCAGATGAAGATTTTTGTCTCTTTAATTATAGAAACTTTATTTGCAAAATCATGCCCGAAGGCTAATTGCTTTTACAATCAAGTATGATACTCGTTGCAATACAGTAACAGGAGACAGGTAACAATCTGCTAGCTATTATGGGGTTCGACTTCTTCTTTGAAGGCAGTGGATAATGAATAGTCCCACATTCTGCATAATTAGTGGGTTTAATAGAATAAGAAGTTTTGACTTTCAGATTATAACGGGGCCATGTGAGTTTTTAATACAGTACAGGAGTCCTTAAAAATAATATTAGTATCAGACATTTTTGAGCTTCTGAATTCCTATGATTCCACAGATTTGAATTGTTTAACGTTTTGCACAAACACAAATTTATAAACATCTTGCCATTATTACAAACACAACACAATCAACACTTTAGGAAGATAGAACTTTATTGCACAACAATTGTAACAAATACTAGTACAATGTATGGCAAATAACAAAACCAGACTAACCTACATAACATTAACAAATCAATCAATTGCATGATTTATAAAAGAAAGACATGATTATCAAACATTGAATGCTGGATGGAATTTATCATTGCAACATTGATTATTTTTAAAACCTTTTTTAAATAATCTTAACATTGTACGAATACGTTAGTATTATTAGTTAAAATAACAGTAGATATATATAGAATACAACACGGGGTATTCCGTATCGCCCGAGGTATCGATCCGACTCGCGGGAGGGCCGGGACCGAGGGCGATGTGGAATACACCGTGTTGTATTTTATTTATATCATACCCACCCAAGAAAACGCGTCTTTCAATGCAAGATGAGCCAAAAGTTGGTGCCCCTAAACCCTCAAATGCAACAACATCAGTTCCAACGTCCGGATTCTGTATTCGAATTTTCGAAAGGGGCGATCGCGGTTAGGGCGAAACGCGTTCGAATCGTTTTATGGAAGCCAGGGAAGCGTTCGATAACGGGTTCCGGACCGGGCCGTACCGTGACGTACGGCCCGGTCCGGAACCCGTTATCGAACGTTATCGCGGCCCGGGTATGATATAAAAAAAATATAGGGGTTACGGCCGTTACGCCCCAAAGGAAGTTTTGGGAAACTTTATAACTTTATAAATGTAAGGTAAAAAACTTATTAGTATTATATTAGCAAAAGTGAAACAACATATTTAGATGCCTATATTTTGTGCTTTCTTATTTGATCCAACAACCATAAAAATATAGTAGTACATGTAGTTCATGAAAAGCATCATATTAGCACAATGTGAGTTAATATTTTGTATAACTTTTGTTAAAAGTGTTAAAAGCATTATGTATGGCAAAAAAAAACTAGAAACTTTGAAAGGTAACATTTGCAAAACAAATCCACATGTTTACATTCACAGAGTCTAGCCTTAACTACTACTGCTCTGTTTATCCTTCCTCAAACACATAAACACATATAGTGTCTGGCCATTGCTACATGATGTAACCCAACACCACAGGATGTCTGCTACAGCACCAGTTACCATGGTGACAGACATCTAGCTCAGGACATTGACCTAATTTGTTTGGAATGAAAGAAAAGAGGAAGAAGAAACAGAGCAGAAACTATATGTTTCTTTCTGCAAAGGTAAACACAACTAGCCAGAAATTTAGACTCAAATATCAAAAGTTTAGATCCACTGGAAAAATCCACTGTGGGAATGCATACAAAACCCTGAGATTGCAACAGAATCTGATGCTATAACTAATGTATAAGTTTTATAGTGATTGAAAGGTCACTTAATCAGTAGTATCTTTTGTTTCCTGCTGTATAAAGTTCCTTTATATCTTGCTGGAAATACAATGTTAAAAATGTCTCCTAAGAGGCATACCATAATACATGTGCTTAGGAGAAAGTTAAAAACTTTCATTTTTGCTAAAATGGCATTCTACCATTGGAACATTGTCAGAACTACTGGTAGTACCTTACAGTTTACTTTGGCACTTCAAGTTTAGCAGAACTGGCATGTATTACTTTTCTCTATTTGTCCATCAAAACTAGAAAGTGTTTGAAGGATAGTTTTGCCAGGTTTTCAAACATCTTAGCATGTTAGAAAGTCAGCTTGTGACCTCTGATCTCTACCCTTTGGTCATGACCTGTGACCTCTAAGTTTGGTCATAACCTGTGACCTCTAATCTCTACCCTTTGGTCATGACCTGTGACCTCTGATCTCTACCCTTCAGTCATGACCCGTGACCTACAGGAAGAACAGTGTTTGTGCCAGGTCCTCGGCAGGCTTGGTGTGGATGCTCTGCCCGACAAGGAAGGCCAGCTTGTGGGCATACTGGCACGGGGCAGGAACTCGGATGGTGCCCTGAAACAACATAACTCAATGCATGAACAAATAAAGGAAAGAACAAATAATGAATGAATGAATGAATGATTTGATTAAACAATGCTTGTATGAAGGAATAAACACAAGCACACATACATACAAACACACACACACACAAACACACACACACACATGAACAGACACACACACAAATACACACACAAATACAGACACACACACATACATGTATGCACATGCAGACACAGACACACACACACATGAACATGCACATACACGCACACACACACATGCACACACACAGACTCTCTCTCTCTCTCTCACACACACAAACACACACACCACACACACACCACACACACACGCACACTTACGGGCCAGTTGTAGTAGAGGTGGCAGAGCTTGTAGGTGAGCCTCTGCATGTGGTCAGGCTTGAGGCCGGAGGTGTCCCACACCACGTTGTAGTGGCAGGGAGTGACCGTTCCCTGGCGCACCGACTGCGACACAAGGAAGAAGTCATACCTAATAGGGATAAAAAAGGAATGTTTGGAAAAATCAGACTTTAGGCCTCGCATAGGACGTATGGATGGAGGTCCCATGTTTGAGGAGAGCCACACCCTGTGCACGTTAAACCACCACACCTTTCGATAAAGAGTCTATGGGCATGCGATGGTACAAACTAAAACTGTCCAGAAGTTGGTGATTGAATTGAAGGCTGGCAAAGAGGGAAAGAAGAAGAATCAACAACTCACTACCTACAGCCTCAAAAAAGCTATGGGACTACAATTCTACCTTTACCTATTTAAATGTGTTATTCCAAGCCCTGAATCAGGGGGGGCCTGCATGGGGTGGTCCCAGCAACGCTCTACATTAAATTTTGAGAGCTAGCTACGTATTATGCTGAATTCAGGAAGCTCCTCGATTATGCTTTACGATAAATTCCAAGTGGCTACAACGCATTACGTAGCATTAAAATACACTCTACGCAAAATGCGCTGATTACGCTCTACGTTGTATTAGAGTAGTCCATCTATACCCTATGTAAAACTACAATGGCTGATCATGCTCTACAGAAAAGGGCATGTGGGCCTCCACTCAGGTATGTACACAGCCGGACTACAAACCATTCAGGCCTGGTGACCTCGTCATCCACGATAGTTCCTGGTGGAGGATTTTGCAGCCCGGGACCAGAGCGAGCGAAGAACCGCGTGTTGATCCGTTTCTTCACGATGACGAACGTGATCTTGGGCCTGCACAAGAACAAATAGTGAGTTAGCACAACCAAGGCTCAAAATGCTTTTCTCAGCATACATGTACTTGCACTGCAATAGCCTGGGTACCATCCTTTTTGTATGCCGGGGCTCCCACACTCGCTTCCTTTACAACTAGGGAAGCAAGTATGGGAGCCCCGGCATACAAATAGGATGGTACACAGGCTAGCACTGCAACAGGCCATCATTGAAAATTACCTGCACCAGACAAGTTTTACCTGCACAACTCAGAATTAAGGAGGTATGGATCATACTAAAAAAATGTTCAGAAACAATTGTGATGCTTACCCACCTCATGGGTAATTGGTGAATTACATACATCAATATAAATAACCAAACTCACTCGTATCCAGCAGTCTGTGACCTGAAGGTGTCCATGATCTGTGGCAGCTCGTGTTCCAACACGGCCTCAAGCTGCCCATCCCCAACACCGTCTCGGTAGAAGATGATACGCTGAGGGAACTCTTTGTTGATCGCCTGGTAGTTCCTGAGCGAAGCTGGGAAGAGAGAAGAGAATGAGAGAATCACACCAGGGTATTACTAGTTTTTCTACATTCAGTGCTGCTTAAACCCATGAGAATTGGCAGTTTGGCAGGGCAGGTAAATAATGGAAAAGTCTCTGAGTCCGTAGAAGATGATACGCTGGGTGAACTCTTTGTTGATTGCCTTGTAGTTCCTCAGTGATGCTGGGATGAGAACAACACCAGGGTCTTACTCGTATAATTATAATATATAAAAATAAGGCTCTTATTTCTACATCCAGTGTTTTTTTACCATCTCCCAGCTACTCAACTCCTAGTCCTGCTGGCATTGTTTACACAATATTTTCAAATAATTTGCAGTCTTAATCAGGTCACAGACCCTTGACTTTTTTTTGCCCCGTGGTGGCATAGTTACTTCCACATTCATTGCGCTTTGCTGCGGTGTGATGCGTTGCACCCCCAAATCCTACATATACAGGGCACTATAGATGGTGCTGTATCCATAACCATCCCCCTACTGCTTAAACCCACAATTAATAGAGAATTGGCAATGTGGTAGGGGACGTAAACTATGGAAAAGTTAAGGACAGACAACAGAAACGTTTTATGCCCCAAAAAGTTACAAAAAATATAAAAACACAACTCACCCACTAGACAGTGCTTGAGCTGATCAATGAGCTCTTGCCCTGTTTGTTGGAAGGTGCACTTGGAGTACCATCGGGTCAGGTGACGGTTCATGGAGGCCACAAACCCTCCCACAGACATCCCCTTAGTCAGGGAGTCGTGGTACACGTCTATGCCAACCACCATCAGACTCGTCAACTGAAAAGGCATTTTAGTTTTTATGATTTTACCAGTAAATAAGTCAGACTGCCCCTACGGCTTCCAGCTAAGGGACTGGACGGTGCATGTGTGTGTGTGAGTGTGTGAGTATGTGTGTGTGTGTGTGTGAGTGTGCGTGCATGAGTGATCAATGATGCCATCTACACTGACGTTTACTCTTGGTGGGATCTTCTCCACTGCCCAAATAAGCTCTTACTAAGATGCACGATGGTCAAATCGGGTCGAATTTTTCCTAACACGCTGCTCATGAATATTTACTGTCAATCATTCATTTAGCCATTGACAACAGTAGCTGATTGGTTCGCAGGTTTGCAGGCGGGGACAAGAAATGTTTTGATCGCTCCTCGCCCAGCAAGATTTTCCCGCGAGCTTGTCTTTTGATATGTGTGCCTCGTCTCCGCCCCTATTGTTCTTCGCTTCGCACGTTTTAACAATGCCCCGGCCTTCATCTGTGTCTTCAATTTTACCTCTAGGGTTACTGTAATTCCTGATTTGTTAAATGTCAGTTAATTTTAGGACTTAAGCAGTCACTATTCCATCGCTATTAAAGATTTCACCGCAAGTGTTTGATCTTTCCACCCCCTCCCCGAATCTTGCTGGACTATACAAGCTCGTTATGTTACGATCGCAAATCACGCCTCACAAGTTCTTGACTACAACTTGAACACAACGTACACGTAATTCGTACAGTAACAAACAATACACTGGTGGTCATCAAAAATAAAAATTATTGTACAAAAAGTATGTGTTTTTTGTACAAATGCCGTGCATAAACATACCGCAGGCAGGAAAAAGCATGAAGCAATGGCGTCACTGCTACGCTTTGAACTTTCACGGCTTGTTTACACTATGGGTTTTATGAATATTAGCTCATAATTACGGCTTAGAAGATATCTATAAATCTACAGACACAGCAAGGCGTTCATCTTGTGCAACTAGGAGACAATATCGAAAAAAATGAGACTTACTAAAGCCAGCGTCATCCAAGCGTCCCGAAGAAACAAAATGGCCGCCCGGAAACACATACTCATGAAGTTACACTTACAGCTTTACAAACGACTTACGGCTACGAGAAATGCGACATGAATTTGTTATATTCCGGGGTAAAGGTTCAGTCGAAAGTTTAGTGGCATGTGTACTTCAAAATGTAAAGCGTTAGTGTGCTACGGCTGTACGACGGAACGGAAATTCGGAAACAAATAATTTGCAGGCATAGTCAAAGAAAGGAACAAAATGCCGCCACAATTTTGAAAGCATTCGAGTCAACATTTGCGCCAAAAATACGATCAAACGTTAGAATCAAAAGTTGTCTGTATCAAGGTGTCTGTATGTCTTTCTTGATTGCGTCCTGGATGGTATTTACCCCTATCCAAGGGCGGGCGATGACGCCGGGCTTGGCTGTAAGCTGGTCCACGGGCGCCAAAAAATTGAAAAACTTGGCGTGCATGCAGCGGCTTGCTGGTACCCTGGAATCCAAACTCGCTGTCCGGGCCGCAAAAGCCCTTCGCCCGCTGGTGTAAATTACCGCTACGGGGGAGTCTAGCCCGGGGGGGTTTGGCTGGCCATCGGGCTCAACTCCCCCGTAGCGGTAATTTAGGCAGGCGGGCGAAGGGCTCTCGGCTGCCGAAGGAAAAAGGCTAACGGCCCGATACTAGTTTGGCATCCAGGGTAGCTTGCTGGCGACGGCACGCGGTGCGTGACACTATTACGGACTTTTTGCCCATGAAGTCCCAATTTATTTTGGATTTATATTTGGTCTTGCCCGTAAACTGTCGACATTTTCTTTTTTGTTTTCATGTATTTTTAATGCTGTTGTTGTTCTTGTCCTTGTTTATCGTCTATCGTTTTTTTTAAATGCACTAGCCGTGTTCGCTAAAATGTAGTGCCGTGAGCTTGCCCATAATTTTTCCCCAACCGCGATACTTGAGTAATTTCTAAACCACGATACTAGCAACATCGTTTCAATCCCTTCTACGACGTCAAGATTTTTAGACTGCCCAAAACCTACAATCTTCTCGTCGAAACAGATTTTTGGTCAATTCTCACTTTTACAACTGCCGCGCCTCTCGATCTCAAACTTGGAAAACAATAGCGGTCCGGCCAGGATTTGCATGTAACTGCACTCGAGAACAATGAAGCCCGATAATCAGTCTCTTTGAGGGACGCCGGCGTAGCTGATTATAGTTGAAAACAAAGTCTTACTTCCACGTGAAAGCTCAGAGTAAAGGGTACATGTAATATTTTGGCCCATAACTTTTGATCTAATAAGGATTTTTTGACGAAAACACCAAAAATCGAAAGGGCACAGTCCCGCCGCCATCTTGATGACGCGTTCTTGTTGTTCTATGGAGGCTCACGGGAATTATACCCCAATCTAGGCCGAAATCTACCCCGAAATTTACGTAAATGATCTTAGATTTCGCAGACATCGAGTTTAATACCATAGAATTAAAAAATTATTGGTGAGATTATAGATTAGGACTTCAACTAATGTTTAGTGCGTAAATTGGAAAAAAATCCTTATTAGAAAGGTCACAAGGTTCAAAGTTCAATTGCTAAAAGTTGCCGGAACTAAACACTAGCGTAAGAAGGACTTTTTGAACGCTGTAATTTGCTGTCACGTTTTTACTTCTTATTATTTACAAAGTCAACCTGTCTTCTTTTCGATTCTTACTGTAGTTTCTCGACATGATATTCCGATCATGCGTTATTTTGAGAGATATTTGCAGTGTTTACTTGTGTATAGTGCCTGAGTACAGGCACGAGGTAGGCACCCCGCGGTGAGTGGGCGGCGCACTCAGCCATAGCAACGCGGACAAAAGGCTAGCAACCGGACCATCGTGATGAGTTACTGGGTACGTAACTTGTGTGCTATTTAGCACCTGATGACAGTTTACCAGCAATGAAAAACATATGAAAATCAGCTATTGCTCTCCACTTCAACTCTTACTCTTACTCTTACTAGATTTGTAATCCTCCTTGCTCTTACCGGGATCTCCACGGCCCAGAGTTCCCCTCCCATTTTGCAGTTCAGTTGCATGCCAATCTTAGTGGCCACAGACATCAGCATCTGCTTTTTGTTGAGTGTCTTAGATAAGATGACCTGGCTCGGCACAGGGTGTTCCACACAGCAGAACTTCTTAATGGCGTCATACGTGTCCTTCCTTCCCGTGCCCTTTAGGATGCAAACAACCTGGGACAAAGTGGAAAGTCAAGAAAACGTCATTGAAGACATCCAACTCTTTGAATAAAACAGTTAATGTCTTCATTCATTCATCCATCCATCCATCCATCCATCCGACCGTTCACCCACCCACCCACCCACCCATCCATCCATCCATCCACCCACCCACCCATCCAACCACCCACCCATCCATCCATCCATCCAGCCACTCACCCACATTTCTGATGTCTATCTGCACCAGCTCTTGTACTGGGTTTATATACAGATGTGGTTATTTGTGGATTATTATAAATTTCTACTAGAATTTAATGGCAATGGTTGTTGAGCAGTTTTAGTATGATCCACACTTCTCAAAGTCTGAGTGGTGCAGGTAAAATTTGTCCGGTGCAGGTAGCAGTGCAGACTTGCAGAAAAAGAGATTTCAAGTCCTGGTTATGATAGTGACCTACCATCTGGGTGACTCCCGGCTTGAGCAGCTCTTTCATCACGCGCAGGTAGCTTCTGGCCTGGTCGTCCTCGATGTCAACCCTACAACACACACATGCAGCTGATGATAGAAAGAAGCACACGGAATTCATCCAGTTGCTTGACTTACAAATATATTGTACAATGTATTATCAAGGACATTATGTGTATAATGTCCTTGGTGGCATCGAATTGCCGAGTTGCTAGAGCAATTTCTTGCATTCCTGGCTAGATATTGTGTCCTTGGGAATGGCACTTTCCTCACTCCATCCAGGTGTAAAATGGGTACCTGACTTGGGTTGGGGAGGTAAAGGCAGTGGAAGGAGAGGGATGGGCTCTGGCTTCCAATAAAATGCCCCAGACACAGTGGATCAACAACCCACTGCCCCTATACACTCAAAAATGCATGGGACTTCCTCTGCCTTTTGTTTTCAAAGACGTTTTCTGGTTCAGAGAGCACGTCGGCAGAACGTACTGCATCTGTGCAAAACCCGTAATGTATTGTACATAGCACTTCAGCAGAACGTCTCAAATAAGGTCGTATTCGCTCATATAATTATAAGGTTAGCATTTCTACATTAATTTCCAATGTTCCTCTGCAACAGGCAAAATTCTGATGCAACGTTGACCAAACATCCAACGAAAAACGCGAAATTCCAGGGTTCTGCGCAGGCGCAGTACGTTCTGCTGACGTGCTGGTTCAGATTGTCTTCCAGGAAATGGGACATACGACAAAGTCTGTATAATTTTTAAATTGTACAGACTTTGTCCTATTTCTCATTTCATATGATAATTTTTAGAGCCTTACATGACAGGGTTGGTGACCTGAATGTCCATGGCAGGTCCCACTTGTTTCAGGGCGCCGAGGAAGTCGTTTGCGCTCTGGCCGAGTCTCCTGGGGAAAATGAGGAGCCACTCCTTCAGCGGCCGGGTGCTCAGGAGGGCTCGACTCCGCATCTCTCGCGACCAGTCAGCATTCTCACGCTTAAAATCAAGCTGGAAAAGAAACCACACAAAAAAATCTCAGTGAGTCAATCAATTTCCAAGAGGATCGAACCCACAACTACCTGTAGTACTTATCTAAAGCTTTATACAAGACAATAGCTCTCCAGGTTGCTCCCATTTTTAGAGCATATGCCCTCAAAAAGTTGACGTTTTTTTAATTTGCTTTCTTGCTCTCTATGTGCGATGTCCTGCAAGTAGTAGTGCAGCTAGATGTTTGCTGGTGTGCCCAAATTTTTTCATGATCTGATGTTCAAGCTGGATGTTTTACCTTCATTAACATAGATATTAGTAAGCGTAACATGCTCGCAACTTTTGTACAAACCTCACAATTCAGCTGTGAGGGTGCGAAGGGCTTTGATGTTCAATAAACAATAAACATCTTAGCTTTCATATTATGACAGAAGTAGATATCTGAGAATCTGGAAGAAGGACCTACGTCATGTCCATCTCGACAGAAGAGCTTCTCCTTTGGCAGCGTGCGGCCGTCCAGCTGGAGTAAGTTCTGATCAAACTCGATCTGCCAACCCTTCATCTCCTTCTGCACATCAGGGTTTCTGTAATGGGGAGGCAGGAAACAGTTAACCTTCAGCCAGCTAAGGCACAAAAATTGTAGGACACAAAATCTGCATAACATGACATCACGGAAGCAGTGGATTGCTCCTTCCTGGAGACTGGAGTTAGTTATAACTTATACAGTCGAAAATTTAGTCCAATCCCTTGAGTATAAATCCCTCCTACAACTATAAAATTGCAACATTATGTAATCCAAAACCAGTTACCATGGTGAGAGACGTCAACAAATGAGGTCATTGGCCAAGTCAGAGGTCAGTTTTTGGAACAGAACAAGAAGAAGAAGAAGAGGAAACAAAGCAAAAACAGCATGTTTTCCTTGGTAAACATAAAAATGAGAAAAATCCTGTAGAAAATCTGGATAGTTCTGCAGATGAGCGACCTGTTGAGTTGGTTGATGAAGCCCTGTAGAGTCTTGCTCCTGGCGCCAGGCGTGATGCGGGTGTGCACAGCCACATCCTTCATCACCTGGAAGTTCGCACGAGCTTCATCTGTCAAACCTGCGAAGAAAAGACATTGGGGGTCAAGCGTTGCCAACAGGCAATTTTGTAACAGTGGGGAGTTTATAGGTACTATCAAATGATCTGTCTGACGGTTCTAGAACTTTTAGCCAAATGGTTAGAGCGTAGGGGTGTCAACTGGTGCCCGGGTTTGACGTGGGTTCGATCCCTGGCCCGGGACCAGAAGTGTCTTTCTGTTTGTACTCTCCTAATTCTTACAACTTTAAGTGCTCTGGACCTTTAATATTTTAGCCTTGCAGTAAGTGCATTGGCTTCGTGAATGACCAGGAGGTCTTGTCTAGATTTCTGCAGAATGTTGAGTCTTAAAGCTACTGTATTCTTAGGTGTGTTCCATCGCAGGTCAGAGACAAGTTAGGTGGCAGAGGCGACTACACACATGTAAGGCCACACCAATTTAATTTGTTGGTTCTCGGATTTTTTCAGAAAAAATATGAAGCGACAGGGCGAAAAAAAATAAAAATAAAAACAGGTCTAGGCATCCTATTATAGGCTTAAATGCTATGAAATGAGCCATGAAGTCAACACAAAAGGCTGGGTTAAAATTTAAACATTGAATTTTGAACTTTTAATCAAACCACTGCAATGATAGATGGGAAAACTGTAACAACTAGGAAGAAAAGGACTTTCCTCAATTGTTTGGGGCAAAACATGAGAATTTTTCAGTTGATTCAGGACCAGAATCAATTTTGTTTTTTTTGCAAATCAGAAAAAAACGAAGAGGCGAATCCGAGAACCAACAAATTAAATTGGTGTGGCCTAAGTTACTAAAAATAATTCTACCTGTTAGAGTACAGAGCTCAGGAATCAGCTTCAAGATCAGGACTTCTCCGTCTTTTGTCTGTAACAACAGCAAAAAAAAAAAACATTGTGAAAATGAGACAGTCATCATTACTAAATCTTTTTGTTTGTTTCACATCCCTGCCTTTAGGCATAACACGCGGGTTTTCTACAAGTACAACCTATACAAACAAACAAACAAACAAACAAACAAACAAACAAACACAATGACATGCCTTCTTCTTGGCCCTGCTCAAAAGTAGAGGTTGGTCGTTGTCCTGAATCTTATGGTTGGACTGTCATTCATAGTACTCCAGGATAAAACAAACAAACAAACAAACAAGCAAACAAACACAATGACATGCCTTTTTCTTGGCCCTGCTGAGAAGCAGAGGTTGGTCGTTGTCCTGGATCTTGCGGTTGTACTGTTTCTCGTAGTACTCGACAAAACTGATGTCTGTCCCGTCAGACAGGCGAAACTTGTCAGTCGGGTGCTCCTCCCAACTGATGTCATCAATCCTGTACGTCTGGTTGTTATACCTGTGTAGAAACAAAAAAGAAAGAAGTAATCTTAATCCAGTTTTAGCTCGATGAAGAGCTAGTCTTTTATTCTTCTGCTGGAAAAATTAGGAAACGGAAAATGGAGCTGGCTGGAAACAGCATCCGACATTCTGAGCTGTTAGCCAGCCAGCTTATCCTGTGGAAGCCAGCAGAGGGAAGGAGGAGAAGAGATAGAAGAAGCAGAACCTTCATTGATAACCTGAAGCGGGATGCTGGGCTCAGAAACATCACCACAGCAGAACTCACTGATGGAGGACAGGGACGATTGGAGATGAAGAACCCATTGTCTCCCGTGTTCACAACCCTGACAAAACTGTGGCCACATAATTTACGGAGGCCGACACTTAATGATGCCCAATGGCAATGTTTTCTTCATTTTGCAGCACAAATTTGTGACTACCGGTATTGTAGATTTCAGATGGTTTAGAATAAAAAGGGGAATGTGACATTTTTTTCTGTAAGTCTGGAACTAGTTACAGACGTTGTTTTTTTACTTGAACCTTAACATTTTTACAAGTCTGGAACTAGTTCCAGCGAGGCGGTACACAGCACTAATCTCACCTAGTGATACATGCCGGTTCACTGGACTTGGATCCGGACTTGTAAGAATGTTTAGGTTCAAGTCCAAAAAAACCTAAAAGTCAAGAACCGAGTCCGGACTTATTACCATAAAAGACCATTTCACATACCCCTTTTCTTTCCAAACCACCTAAAACCTTCCGTAGATTGCAAAATCTTTGCTGCAAAATGAAGAAAACATTGCCATCAGGCATCGTCAAGTTCCAGCCTCCATGTTATGTGGCCAAAGTTTCACCCAGAAAACATTGCAAGGTTGCCAACATGCAGTTTTGTATATGTCATGGGTTTAGGTCCGGACTTACAAGTCCCGAACTGAACCTAAACCTCTGGACTTGAATCTGGACCTGAACCTGAAATTGGGTTTAGGTATGCATCACTACTCTCACCTTGTCAGGACGATCTCTCCCACCAGCATCTTTGTGGCCTTCTCGTAGAACTTGCGCTGATCCTGGCCGTACAGATCGTACATGAGGTCCAGCACCGTGTCCGTACGCATGATCTTATGAGAGACGTCGGCCAACAGGAGGGTTTTAGACTCGTACTGCAGGATGGAGGTCACGAACCCAGGCCACACCTCCAGTCTGGGGAGAGAACAATCAATCAATTAGTCAGTCAATCAATCAACCAATCATCCACAAGTGTCGGTACGGAGGATCTTGTGCGAGACGTCGGCCATCGGGAGGGTTTTCGACTCGTACTGCAGGATGGAGGTCACGAACCCTGGCCATACCTCCAGTCTGGGGAGATCAATTAAGCAATCAGTCAATAAATCATACAGGCATGTAAAACTGATTCAACTTTGCTAATGTGGGACACAGTATATTGTATGTGTCAATTATATCATACAGATTGCCTTATTCAGTATATTCAGTTTTGCCGCCCTGAAATTGCAATGGATGCCTTTAATAAAGAAACTTTTATTGTACATTCATGCCCTATCAGGCCAAGTGCAGGTGAACAGATGAAAAGGTATATACATGCTTGTAGTAATCTAACTATGTCAGCTCTAAAAGTTCTCTAATACTGAGGTTTGGCTTCTTCTCGTTTCTTTCTGATGATAAAGATATAATTTGAGATTTAATTCTTCCTGACCTGTGCTGTGGGATGTCCACCTTCTGACCGGGGTTGTAGTAGTTCCTGTTGACCTCCTGCATCCCAATGGTCTTCAGGAACTTGCGGAAGAGGATGTTGTAGATCTGGAGACAGACCGGCGACGTCGGCGGGACCTCGTTGGTCAGCGTGATCGTGATCTTGACGGGCGAGCCGTCCGTCTTTCGCTGCGTGGTTATCACCGTTTGCTAGAAAAAAAATTCAACAAATTAAACAGCTGTTGTTGGCATATGTGCTGATGTTAACCATTGTCCTGCTGACATTTTTTACACAATATTTTCTTACTTAATCTTACAAGTCTTACTTAATCTGGTCACAGGACTTTTTTTGCCCTGCGGTGGCATAGTTACGTCCGCATTTGTTGCGTTTCGCTGCAGTGTGATGCGTTGCACGAGAAACACCCCCAAATTGTACATATACAGGGCACTATGATGGTACTGTACGAGTAACCCATATATATTTGGGCCCCGCAGGACAAGGGTTAACACTTTGGAGCACCAAATCCGTAGTGTGTTTTTGGCACACAGTCAGACAAATTAGCCAAAGAGGCTCGGTGGGCGTCACTCCACCGTATAGATAAAAAAATAATGCCTTCCTACCGGCCCTATTTTTTCAGGACTGAAACAGGAAACACAACATTTTTTTTCGTAGGCCCAACCATGTTCTTATATCATCCTTTTCCAGTCTCCTGGGCAGAAAAAGGATCTTCCCAATCCCATGCCATCATAGATCTTGGTACCTGCAAGAAGTGTGTTTTTCTTGGCATCCTTTGCTTTTTTTCTGTTTCAATGGTAAGAAAATGTTCTTACATCCTTTTCCAGTCTCCTGGGCAGAAAAAGGATCATCCCGTCAAAGATCTTGGTACGTCCCAAGAGGTCCTCCTGGCTGCAGACCATGGCGATGCGAGCTTTGCGGTGATCCACTTCTGGCGAGAACTCCACGTGATACTGGAACAGGACCCAGTCAGGCTGCGGCTTCACCCGGAAGAAGTTGGTGATCATGCTGACAGGGTTCCCTGTAGTACCTGTGGTGACGACGATTAGTACAATATTCATCAGTTAGTACATTCACCAATCAGTAAAAGGTAGCCAACACGTACCTATAGATTTTTGACGTCCACTGTACGTGTTGATCACGGAGTGACCTAGTCTCGCGAGAACACGAGACGACATCGAGACTTGTAATAGCTATGCCTTCCAGTACCAGAGTTATCAACCAAGGATTGAGGTGTTCAAGAATTCATTCTTTCCTAGAACTATCGCAGAGTGGAACTCACTGTCACCATGTACAGTAGGGGGCCTAGGGGCATTGTCATTGGATAGCTTTAAACAATGTCTAGAATTAGATGTTCAAGGGCCAGCTGCCACTGCGCCGCATGCCTGCAAAGCGGGTGTGTTATGCCGAAGGGCGGTTATACCGGCTATATAGATACAGAAGCTGGTGTGTTACGCCGAAGGGCGGTTATACCGGCTATATAGATACAGAAGCTGGTGTGTTATGCCGAAGGGCGGTTATACCGGCTATACAGATACAGATACAGAACTACCATGCCCCAAGACTGGACGCCAGGCTAGGCTGATGTAATTCTGTCAGGCTCACCTCTCTTGTTGGCCATGTGCTCGGGTCTGGTGTGGGGTTCCTCCACCACCACCCCACCCCTCCTCCTCCTGGTACTCCTGTCCCCACCCCCTGGGGCGCGCTCCCCCAGGGTCAGGGCCTCCAGCTGGGAAGTGGGCGGGGCTGGGAAAGGACAACAACTGTTACAACAAGGCGTTCAGACATGGCAGACTTCAACAAGGGCCTTCATGGGAGGGTAGTGATTACGAATTTACGCAAAATTTTTGCCGCCGATTACAAATTCCGTTTAAGACTCAAAGCGGACTTTCGCTTTACGACTACTACAAATTACGTTGATTTCTGGAGAGACTGCCTATGGATTAAGAGGACTAAAAAGGCCTGATTACGCCTTACAAAACAACAACTGTCAGAGGGCCAGCATGGTCTACCAGATACCTTTGACCCAGTGTTGTCACATCACACTTCAAACTAAAGAAGCCACGTGATAAGCCTCACTGGGTCAGTTTACGGAGGAAGTGACTGGTCGAAAGCTCTAGGTGAATTTTTTTTTTTTTTGAGATTTAACATTTTGAGTTTTAACATTAAAAAACAATGTCAGAGATTTGATTTGTCTCCCTTCAACAACAACAATTCAACAACTCACAAAGAAACTAGACTTTCTCTCCAGCAAATCTCTTACCTCCAGGTGCTCTTGCTGTTGCCCCTCCCCTTTGTCGGGCTCTGCCAGTTGCAACGGGAGCTGCCATTGGTTGTCCAACTCCACCCTCTGCTCCCATTGGTGGGCCTACAGTGTGCTGTGCTCCCATTGGTGGACCTACGGCATACTGTGCTCCCATTGGTGGTCCACCCTGAGCTGCCATAGGTGGCCTCACATGACCCTGTGCTCCCATTGGTGGGGCTACTGCATACTGTGCTCCCATTGGTTGGCCTACGGCATACTGCACTCCCATTGGTGGGCCACCCTGAGCTGCCATTGGTGGGCCACGCTGAGCTGTCATTGGTGGGCCACCCTGACCTGTCATTGGTGGGCCACCCCGACCCTGAGCTGCCATTGGTTGAGAGGTCTGCATCCCGGGCTGTCCTTGGTAAGCTGCCTGAGTGCCTGGTCGGCGCGGCGAGGGTTCGTCCGTGGCTCCCCTGCCCCTGCCTCGAGCCCGGCCACGGGCCCTGCCCTGCGGCTGCGACATGGCTGCTCAAGGTCTCAACATGGAATCAAGGATACAAAACATTAATTAACAAAATAGGTAATGGTACTAGTAGCTTTTTTTGGGTTAGGGTTATTAGGGACTTAGGGTTAGATAAATCTTCAAGCAGATCATAGGGTGGCAAAAGACAGTAGTATTAAATAAAATGGCCAGCCAGTATCCATTTGCCAGAGAGGGTCCAATGCGCCACCCAAGGTGGGGGTAGTGATAAAAAAATGGGCCATATATACATAGCTAACGATCACTCCCCCACAACCTCTGCTTGGAGAGTTGGTTCGCCAGATTTTAAGTCCATGGCATAAAACTTGTAGCTATGTCTCCTGTTTGAAGAGTGCCAAAAACAGTGATCAAAGAACCCATCCCTTTAATAGATTAGATCAGAGATTTGCACCAGTCTGCCCCAGTGTAAAAATAAACAAATCAAGATTTATAGTTAGTCTCCACCAGACTTCTTTTGCGGGGTGAATAAATCGTAGAAATCGGCCTAAAAGGGATATAATTGGCCAGAGAAGATAGCCGGCCAGAGAAGCTCCATTTCCCCAACATGGAGCTTCTCTGGCCGGCTATCTTCTCTGGCCAATTATATCCTTTTCAGGCCGATTTCTACGATTTATTTAGAGTACGGGGATCTTCAAAATCTTTACAGTTGACAAATAGGCTTGTTTTACTGAGTACTTCGAATTTGAGCATTCTTGGCCAGCGAAAAGGCAAAATCATTCTACAATTTTGCAGAATCACGTTCGAAAATCATGATATCTTGAAAATAATCTTCTGTCCATGCGGCCATGTGTGGCGTGACCCTTAATCACATAAATCAGCCGTCGGAATGTGACACTGACAGATTCTTAGAAATTCAAGATGGCTGTTTTGAGTGTTTTTCCAGCATGTGAACCATAAATTTCCCTGCAGCCTGACATATATGTACGTTACAAATATAGGAAAAGTTACATCTTGTCAAGGAGGTTCAATTTCTTCTTGATCTTGTTGTGAAATTTATTCAACAAGTCTTCTGGAAAAGCGTCCCACTATGATCCGTTTTCAGGACAGATCTGACCCAGATAAAGAAAGTTAGACAGCTTTCGAGGGAAAGCAAACAAGCGTCTTGAACAGCAGATGAATTTTCTGCTCGGAATATTTCACAGACACAGAAAATATCTACACCAGAACTAGAAGCAGACCAGAAAACTTACCTTCTTGCCGAGAGTCAAGACGTTTCAACTCTCTTGGCCTTGGGCCTCTCCGACAAAAACAAACAGGCCAGACCAGACAGTCGCTTATAATCTGTGCAGTTTTCGGGCGTATTTCTGTCGTCTGGGCTTCATATATCTTACAGTTTTCTTCTCTAAATATTGCACACCCTTCCAAGAACGAAGAAAAGGCCCAAATTATCCTGACAAAGCCGTCAGAATTTTTTATAACGGGACCTCCCAGCACGGGACGTTTCGGTAAGGTCCCACCATATCCCACCATCCACTTGGGATGGGCCGCACTTCGGCCAATCAGAGCAACTCTTTGTTCTCAAGGCGACTCCAGGTTTGTAAGGAACGATTTGATTGGTTCAAAGTTAATTAGCGTGAAGATAATTAAGTCTTTAAGTTACCGGAGGGGGGTGAATGACCCCTTTTGTGTCCTACTTGGAAAATGTGGTAAGAATTACTCAATTAGTGCTGTGTGGGTGTTTCCTTCCTGTGAGGACCTTTCCCACACTTTTGCCTGCTAGGTAAGAACTAGTCTATATACCAGACTAACTACGATGGCTATATATGGGAGAATATTTGCCAGGGGAGTTTGGCCGCCTTGTAGGTTTGACTGGCCGCACACGTCGGAGGGAAAGAAACTACCTCTCCGCGGCCGGACTCCCTTGGCCAATTTAACTCTCTTTTTTGCCGAATTCTACGATTCGTAGAAAGGCCTGGTGGAGGCTAGGGAAGAACGTGGTTTTAATTATTTGTACCGAATAATTTATAAGGTCAGGGAATAAGGTATATCCAAGGACGTTCAACTTGGTATATCTCGCCATACGGCTGCGGCAAGTAATTTTATGGATGACATGAGCGCTTTTAAATTCATTTTTCACATAGTTATTTCATTGACAAATGGATGATGTAATAGTTGGCAGTAAACTTATACAGTATAGGATATAGCAAGGACATTCTGGATGGAAGCTCCTTGAATATAGGGTATAATCAAGGACGTTCAACGTGGTGTTGAACGTCCCCAGGTATAATCATATTTCTTGTTAACAGGGTCTCCGATATCAAATTCGATTTTGGCCTTCTCTGTCACTCCCTCACATCTTGCAATCAGAAAAACAAACAACACAAACAATCAATAGTTTTGGAAGATAGAACTTTATTCCAAATGTAACCCAACACCACTGGATGTCTGCTACAGCAGCAAGTCACCACGGTGACAGACATCTAGTCTAGGTCATTTAATTACTACCTTATTACTTTGGAATGGAAGAAAAGGAGGAAAAATAAACAGAGCAGAAACAATATGCCTCCTTCTACATGTGGAAGTAAACATAACAAGCCAGAAATTTACTATCCAAATTTTAGATCCACTGGAAAAATCCACTGTGTGAATGCATAGAGCATGGAGCTAGAAATGAGAGTCTTTTAACTCCATGCATAGAGTAACCCTGAGATTGCAACAAACCCTGCTGCTAGTTTATGTTAGTTATACAATGATTGAAAGTTTACTTAATCAGTATCTTTTGTTTCCCTGCTATAAACTGTTCCCTGGGAAGACATCTCACCTGTTAACAATGTCTCCTTAGAGATATACATAACACATATGCTTAGGACAGACTCTGGGTTCTTTCATTTTGTTAAAACTACACTCTACCTTTGGAAAATTAGACCTTCAACCTTACAGTTTACACTCGCTCGCTCACTCACTCACTCACTCTGACTCACTCACCCACTCACTCACTCACTCCTCACTCACTCACTTATTCACTTATTCACTCACTCACTTAAGTTTATCAAAACTAGAGAAAGGAAAGTGTTCGAAGGAGTTTTGCCAGACTGTCAAATCACATAATGGGTTCTTTCATTTTGTTAAAACTACACTCTACCTTTGGAAAATCAGACCTTCAACCTTACAGTTTACATTCACTCGCTCGCACGCTCGCTCACTCACTCACTCACTCACTCACTTATTCACTCACTCACTTAAGTTGATCAAAACTAGAGAAAGGAAAGTGTTCGAAGGAGTTTTGCCAGATCACATGCATGTTCTCTGTGGAAACCCAGCTTGTGACCTCTGATCTCTACCCTTTGGTCGTGACCTGTGACCTCTGATCTCTACCCTTTGGTCGTGACCTGTGACCTACAGGTAGAACAGTGTTTGCGCCAGGTCTTCTGAAGGCTTGGTGTGGACGCTTTGTCCAACTAAAAAGGCCAATTTGTGGGCGTACTGGCACGGGGCGGGGACTCGGACGGTGCCCTGAAACAACATAAAACGATTGCATAAACAAAGGAAAGAACAAATAACGAATGATCGAATGAACAAATGATTGAAGGAAATGATAAGCAGTAATAGGCACACACACGCACACACTCGCACATACACACATGCATTCACATACACACACACTCACACACACACATACATACATACACACTAACAAGTGCAAACACAGTGTACATAAACATGCATGCACACACGCGCACGCACACACACACACAAACATGGGCACACACACACAAACACACATACATACATACAATCCACACAAACACACAAACACGCATGCAAATGCACACACACACACGCAAACACATGTGCACACACACACACACACACATGCACACACATGTGCACACACACACACACACACTTACCTGCCAATTGTAGTAGAGGTGGCAGAGCTTGTAAGTGAGCTTCTGCATTTGGTCAGGCTTGAGGCCAGAGGTGTCCCACACCACGTTGTAGTGGCAGGGAGTGACCGTTCCCTGGCGCACCGAGGTGGACACCAGGAAGAAGTCATACCTGAAGAAAAAGAAGAAGGATGTCTGGGAAAATCCAAATTGTACAGATTTCTAGACCATACAGTCTATGATCTTGTCTCAACCTGGTGTCCACATCCCACTGCCCCAAAAATACAGCCTCAAAAGAGCTATGGGTCACAGTAACATTTACGTACATTTGTTCCTTTCTACATTTTGTAATTCCCAGCCCTGATTTAGGTACACAGCCAGACTACATCTGGTACATCGAGAGTACGCCCCGATTTGAGGTGCTCTCTTTAGAGACGATTGACTCTGGACTGAACCATGAACCAAGCAAACCAGCACCAAGAGACCATGTCTAGTGAGATAGTCTAGCTATGTAAGACATTAAAGGGCCCGCAAGCCCTTTTCCGTAGAGCGTAATCAGCCGTTTCAATTCTACGTAGAGCGTAGACGGACCGCTCTAATTCAATGTAGAGCATTATTGGCGTATTTTGCGTACAGCGTATTTGCCATTTTAATTCTAGGTAATGCATTGTGGCCACTTGGAATTTATCGTAAAGCGTAATCAAGAAGTTTCCGAATTCAGTGTAGAGCGTTTTTGGGACCCCCCATTGCAGGCCCCCAAGGACACTGTACAGCAACAACAACTACTACAAACCATTCAGGCCTGGTGACCTCGTCATCCACGACAGTCCCTGGCGGGGGATTCTGCAGCCCGGAGCCGTCACGCGCGAAGAACCGCGTGTTGATCCGTTTGTTCACGATGACGAACGTGATCTTGGGCCTGCACAGGAGTAATCACTCAGTTAGCAAGACAGATAAACATTATGCAAAAGAGTCAATTACTGTAGTACTGTTAAAGTAATTCACTTTATGTTCATGGCATGGCCAAGGCATATGCTCACAGTTTAGTTTAAGAAACAAGGAGTTTCACGCACGGATTCCAAACTTTTATTCACATTGACAGTGGCGGCAGGTGTAGAAAAGATGGTGAATTACGTAATGTGTTAACGGTAATGATAAGTTCCCTGTTAGTGCTTAAGTGACTGTGACAACTGCAAACATTAAAAGTACTGTGAAAATGTTAGAAATTACCAATAAGACTAGTAATATTCCTTAACAAATACTCCTGATGCCTGCATAATAGTGATGTTCTCTTGGACATGCTGGAGGTCCCATGTTTTAGGGCAGTCACACCTTAAGCATGTTCAGATCACACCACACTTATCATAAATAGTAGGGACCACTCTTCCCGGTGTGAATGGTTCAAACCTGACAGTCTGGTCTCAGGGTTGTCATCTTGAAAAGGTGATAGTTATTTTAATCCTTCGACAAATGCAGTAAGTCTCAATAAACCAACAAACTCACTCGTATCCTTCAGCATGGGACTTCAAGGTGTCCACGATCTGTGGCAGCTCCTCCTTCAATAAGGCCTCCAGCTGCCAATCCGCCACACCGTCTCGGTAGAAATGACACGCTGAGGGAGCTCCTGGTTGATGGTTTGGTAGTTCCTGAGTGAAGCTGGAAGGAGAGAATCCCACCAGGGTGTTACTAGTTTGCTTAAACCCATGAGAATTGGCAGTTTGGTAGGGCAGGTAAACTATAGAAAAGTTTCGGTAGAAGATGACACGCTGAGGGAGCTCCTGGTTGATGGTTTGGTAGTTCCT